TTTCTCTTTCACCCTTGCTAGAATTTCTTTCTGGATTTTAATTTTAAATGATAGTCATTCTGACTGGAGTGAAAAAAATCTAAATGTAGTTTTAAATTTCATTCACATGGAGGATAAAATTACCAAACATATTTTTAAATATTTATTGGTCATTTTGACTTTTGCTTCTGAGAACAGTCTCATCATTTCATTAGACCATTCATTGACGAGGTCATAGGATTTATTAGTATCTTGGATTTTTAAGACCTTTGTATATTTTAAATGTTAATCCTTTGTCAGATATACATTTAGCAAAGATTCTTTCCCCATTCTGTAGGGGGCTTTTAAACTGAAATAAATTTTTCTTTTGCTGGGCAGACCCTTTGCCATTCCATGTATGTGGTGGTATTTTACTTGTACTGAAATGTGATTTTAATTGTATGTTAATAAATAAAGTTGTCTGGGGGTCAGAGCTATTAGAGTCATAGCAAGTGCATGGCGTCGGTGGCGCACGCCTTTAAGGACCTGGAGGGCGGTACATTCAGGCAGTGACGAGGCAGTCACATGTTTGGGTTTACAACCAATGACAAGGCAGAACAGGAAGACTTTAAAGACAGACACACAGGAAGTAGGTCCTTTTTCGGAGAGCTCTCTTGGCGGGAGAGGATCCCTGAATCAGGAAGGGTGAGGCTCTTAGCTCTGACCTCTTGGCTTTCTTCTCTGAATTGGCTCTGTGTTTCTTATTTTATAAGACCGTTGGTTACATCTATACATGTATATCATTTTTTTATTCTAGTAACAATTTTCTGAGTTACTGTAGTCTGTCCAGAAAGACTTGAAGTATTTTCCCCTATACATTTCTGGCAATAAATTAATGCCTATGATCCATTTTCAATAGTTTCTTTGTTTTGTTTGTTCATTTGTAAACAATAACTGGGTCTTAGCCACACGAACCTTTACTGAGGGGCTATTGGTAGCTGTTGGGTTCTCGAGGGGTCAGGTTTATTTAAGGGTGCAGCCCTTTTAAGGTGACCATGTTCCAGCGGACGACTCTATATTCATTAGTAGATGGACAGCACAAGTTGGACTAAATAGATTATTTAAAAAATTAAGAAAGACACAAAATAGGAGTGGGTAGAAAATATCTGTGAATCTTGGTGAATTTTTGAGGAGAATTGGGGTGGTGGTGTTGACTGATGAGAATTCAATGTACAAAATTCTCAAAAATTTAATTAACATTAATTTTTAAAAAGGGAAGTGTCTAGCTTCATTCTTCTGGATGTGGATACCCATTTTTTTGTTGTCTTTTTTCTTTTAAAGAAACATTTGGTTAACATGTTGTGTTTTCTCAGATGTGTGATTTTGCCATCTTTGTCTAAGATCAGTTGGTTGAAGCTGCATGGGTTTACTTCTGGCTCCTCTATATTAATTACCCTGATGATCATCTTTTCCCACATTAGAACCATGATGTTTTTGGTACAATGACTTCACAATGGGACACGAAGTCAAACATTGTGTTGCTTTGGATTGCCTTGGCTTCTTGGGTATTTTGAGCTTCTCTATGGATAGTAAGTTATTTTTTTTCTCTTTGATGACTATCATTTTAATTTTTATAGGAATTTCTCTGAATCTGTAGCACTTTTATGGTTTTATAGCATTTTCATAATATTCATTCTGCCAGTCTGTGAGCATGGAAGTTCTCTCCATGTTCCAGAATGGGGATTCTTCATTAGTTTCTTTCTTCAGTATATTAAAATTTCGATTACACAGGTATTTCATTAAAAAAAAAGAAAAAAAAACATTGGCTAGGTTTATTTCTAAGAACTGTTCTCCAACGTTCCCCTGTCCATTTCCCAGAGACCTAGTAGACATCTCTGTATGCAACCTGACATCTTCTAAATAAGAATACCACATTTTAATAGTAAACTAAGTTCAATATATCTTTTTTGCCATGTACTGATATTTAACATGCTGTGTAAGAATGTTATAAAAGATATTGGAACATTGGTAGCCAGATTCATATTAGAACAAGAGTAACATTTATTGGCAATATTTATCTATACTTTTGAATGGTTCCATATTTGAATGGTTTAAAATTTACTATTCCATTGACATTTTATACATAATATATGAAAGCCAAATAATATAAGTGCTTTCAAAATTCACAGGCCTTTATTCTTGACAATTTAAAATCAGACTGTGCTCTATTTTTCTTTGGAATAAAAATAATGACTAAAATGGTTTCTTTAAGGCTGATCTTTACCATTGACTTGAATATCTTTTAAAAGAAAAGCTGCACAGATGTATGTGGGTATTCACTGGGGAAATGTGGGGCAGCTGCCACAGGTCAGTGTACAGTGCAAGCAGCAATACATGTGTGTAAGGCACATAGTCATATTTTCATATGAGGTCTACGAATTCACTGCGAAATAACACTGCTTGATTTGGTAATCACTGATTCATTACTAGTTCAGGCTGCAATGTATCTTAATAGATTTGCAAAAGGTCATGACTAAAGAGTTTCAATATAATCTTAGCTACTTAATATTTTTACTAGATGAATATTTTAAAGTAGGAATATTGCCACAGCAGAGGACAAAACAGTAACTTCTGAACCCTGTTGGTACCCTTTCTCTTGTTTTGATATTTTCTGGTTAGTGTGATCCATATTTTTGTGTTCCTGATGCTCAGTATCTTAGAGATCCTTTGGAGACCTTGTGTTTCTCTCTTGGAAATTAGTTCAAATAGAGATCCAATTAGTTCAACTTTGTAGAGTCATGGGACAGAGTAACCTACTCACTGGTAGGAGACCCCTCAGAAAATAAGCCTTCTCAAGTTTCCCCATCCAGAGACATGCCCTAAGGAGACATAAGCAAAGTTATTTTTAACATTGTTTTTTAATTCATTTTTTAAATTTCTGTAGCTCTTTTGCCTCTTTTTATAATTTATTTTTTACTAATCACCACTTAGGGGACACTCTAACAGGTGTACAAGGTTTCAGAAGGCACACTTTTTCCTTTTATGAGCTTCTTAATATGGACAGATGGACACATGCCAAATGATGATGTGAAATCCATATAATAAGTGATGGCAAAGAGCTCAAGGTGTCATAAAATAGAAGAAGGAGGGGTCAAGGCACTGTAGAAAAGCAGGGGATGATTTCAGAGGGAGACCTAGGATTTTTGCAGGCCAAGAAGATGAAGATAAAGATACAGTAACAAGCTGGGCAGTGGTGGCACATGCCTTTAATCCCAGCACTCCGGAGGCGGAGCCAGGCGGATCTCTGTGAGTTCGAGGCCAGCCTGGGCTACCAAGTGAGTTCCAGAAAAGACGCAAAGCTACACAGAGAAACCCTGTCTCGGAAAAACAAAAACAAACAAACAAAAAAAGATACAGTAACAAAACATTTGCTGTAGGTCACCCCAAAAGTGAAGGCATAAAATGAGGAATGACTTGGAGATTTAGGGAAGTACAGAGAACACTTTCTGTTGTCGGCTTCTGGATAGTATGTGCTTCTTAAAGATGTTTTGTTACAAAGGAAAACTCATTACAACCCATCTAGGATCCTAATATATATGAGATATTTAGAGTTTTTTTTTTAACCACGGAATATATAAAGTAACACAGCATTCTATTTGAGGGTAGCATAGTGAAAGACTTTGAATCTTTAGATTTACACATCTCCCCACTCTGCTTCCCACTGACTATGTGAACAAAGGCTAGTTATTTAATCTTTCTGATCTGGAGTTTCTTTATCCCAGAAACAGAAAAAAAAATGGTTACATTTTAGAGTTTCCTTGAGGACTAAATAACATACTATTTTAAAGATATTTGGAATAGCTTGAGTCCCAAATATTGCCCTCAGTTGATGGCTGCCACTGTTGGGATGGTTGATATCAGAAGCAACCAAGTAAGCTTCCAAAGGAGGGAGAGTAACCAACAGTTCTTCCAACGTATGGTGTCCACTAACCCCAACAACTACCAACATGGCACAATAACACTAAGGGTGCTGTAGTGGCACCCACATATTGGCAGTAACAGCAGCTCTCTAATTGGACATAAGACCTGCCAATCAAAAGGGATATTGTGCCTGGTACTATAATCCTACCCAACTGCTCAGGATTGGTGAAGTTACGGATCTTGCAGGAGAGCCTACAATCACCATGTTACTAAGCCAGCATTTTCCTAACTATGCTTTAAACATTTGTTCACTACCCGCTACCCACAGGTAGGCATAGTCTTCACATCGTTTTAAGGAAACTTCTCTTTGCAACAGCCAGGGACCATTACAAAAACTGACAACCAATCAAAATGTAGAAGTGTGAAGTTTAGTCCCAATAAAAACACTTATAAAGACAACTTCCATGCTTGAGGGAGAGGGGGCAGAAAGAATGAAAGAGCCAGAGGTACTGAGAGTTTGCTCTGGGATTATTTTTTCCTAGTAATTTAAAAAAGCTGCAGCCATAAAGTCTCACAAGCATGAACACCGAAAAATGAGCTGAACAAAGATTACCAACAGACATGTCAAAGTGCATGGGAGGCAAGCCCATTAGGCCTCAATAATGCACGAAGAAATACAGGCAACTAAGGAAGAAATCAACTTCCCCAGGGAAGAGCACACCAATTGTTTTTCTGATACCAAATTGTCAGCTCTGAAAACATATATCCAAGTAACATTATACAGACTGAGCAGGGTATGTTTAGGAAATTAAATGTATGTACACATACTTGTGCTCATGACAACATTAAATGAAAACATGGCATGTATTTGAAAGAGAGCAAGGAGAGGTTTATGGGAAGGCTTGAAGGGAGAAAGGGGAGGGGGAAATACGATTAAATTATGATCACAAATAAATGATAAAAAACAAAAAGTGGCAGTTTTTATTTTAAATAACAATTAAATTGTATTGTTTTTAATTGTATTTAATGAGTCATCCAACACTGAAAACTTGATTGATTGCTTGTGAACTACTTAGGCTCCTGTATTAAGCTTCTTGACAGAACTCTTCCTTTTTTAATAGGCAAAATCTCAAATCTTATCCAGTGTGTTAGATGTTGCTCATCAGTTTATAAAGGAAGTAAATCCACCTAATGAAGGGAATACTTCTACAGAAGCATCCAGTAAAACTCAGAAGAAACCCAAAGCCCTACTTCTTCAGGAGAACAGCTCTGAGGTAAGTGGAGGACAAAGTAGGATGTTTCCTGCCCTACATATGGTGACTGACATTCATGTCCCTTACCAGAGATGCACGCACATTTGGGGACATTACTTTGCAATGTTGTTAGTATTTAATTGTTTTAGTAATTGAATATATCTAGACTATAAAAATAATTTTAAGGTTACCTACAGTCCATTGAAAATTGTTCTTTTAAATGAAAAAATTTTTTGAAAATATGATCTTCTGACCATTTGACCATGTCAGGAATTGTATGATTGTTGGATAAAAACATTAAAATAAAACCTAGAATATAATATAACAGTTTTGTATTCATTAGAATTTCCACATGCTCAAAATACAAAGGCTTTAGACAATTTCAGCAGTGTATAAAGGGAGATGAACACCAAAATCTGACAGTTATTCAAATTAACTATTGATCACACAAAGTACTACATATATTTTTATCTACACACACACACACACATACACACACGTATATGTATATGTATATGTATAGATATGTGGAATCTATTCACATTAATTTTTTTAAAATTGATTGAATATAGCATACTTATTGAGCAAAAGTGAAAAAAAAATTCCCCAAAGTGGAATATTTGCAGGGAAAGAATCCCTTTCAATTGCATCTTTAGCAAGAAACAAACTCTACATTCTGGCTGACATTGTAATCCTCTTTCCCTATGTGGTACGCATCTTTTTCCAATAGCTCACAGACTACGGGTTACTTGATTAGTCACTAAGCTTTGTTACTTGATGAAGTTTAGGCTGAACTGAAGTCTCGAGTTTCAAATTCATGTACATAAGTGTTCTATTTCAACATGAACTCCTATACAGGATCTATGAGAGAACTTTTCCAGAAAGTAGGCACATTTTCACGTAATTCTTTTTCTCACAGATTTGCCAAAGATAGACTGTGAACCAACACTGAATGAGTTACAACCTCACAATTGTAGTATGATATATAGGGAAAAGCATTATACTATTTTATCTAGATCACAGACTTCTGTATATTCTGATCATAGTTTCCCCACTGCTGTCTCCTCCCAGCTCCTCTACACCTCCTGCCATATGCAATTCCATGTCTTTGTTCTCCCTTCTTTAGAAAATGTGCAGGCTAATTAAACAAACAAGTAAACCAGAATAAATCAGCAAACAGACAGACAAGAAAAAAAGAAAATGACAAGAATTGGGAGAGAAACCAGTATGCTTGGAAATGAAAATCTAATGGAAATGATCATGCCCCATAGAAGTTTGTGTAGAGCTACCAATTAACTTGGCAATAGCCTGAGTTCATCAGGAATTTCCATGAGGCTCTTTGGGCTAACAATCCAATTAGATGTAATCAATTCTTAGCACTGGAGGTTTAACTTGGTGGCAGAAGAGATCCATTTGGGGTTTTGTCTCCCTGTTATTTGGTGATTCCATTTGTGTATGTATATATTTTAAAATGCTTCTACTATTGTAGGTTTCCATATGACCCCTCAAATGGTTCTTAGTGGTAACTGGCTCTCCCTTTATTCCCCCTGCCCCCGCACCGCTCATTTAATTCTCCATTTTAGCCCCTCCCCATTTCTCAGAAATGTATTCTACTTCTCACATCTTATTATTTCCTTCCCTCTCCCCTAGTCCTTTACTCAATATCTAGCCTCTGTGGTTGTACAGATACTAGCATGTAGTTAGAGTTTTCCATACAGAACATCCCACAGCACTAGCATGCTTATTGAAGGCATATAAGATGGCAGCCACATGTAAGAGTTTCATACCATGTTTATCTTTTTTGGTATGGGTCATTTCATTCAGAATGATTTTTTTCCCGGCCTCAGTCTTCTACCTACAAATTACATGATTCCTTTTATTTAACAGCTGAGTAATATTCCATTGTGTTAATATTAATGTAATCCACTTTTGTTATTCATTCATCTATTGATGGGCATCTAGAGTGTTTCCAATTTATGACTGTTATGAATAGAGCAGCAATGAACATGGTTGAACTAGGTCTCCCCACATTAGGATGAAGCATATTTTAGGTATATGCCCAAGAGTGTTATAGCTGAATCTTGAGGTAGATTAATTACAAGCTTCCTGAGGGAACACCACACTGGTTTCCACAGTGGCTGCACAAGTTTCACTCTCACGGGCAACAGATGTGTGTTTGCCTTTCCCCACGTCCTCACTACCATGAACTGTCACATGCTTTATTGATATTAACCATTCTGACTTTGGTAGCATGAAATCTCAAAGTAGTTTGGATTTACATTTCCGTGATGACTAAGGATGCTTAAGGTTTTCCCAGTCTTTTGTGTTTCATCTTTTAAGAGCTCTCTATTAAGCAGAACCCTATTAATATTAGAACTCTATTTTTAAATTGGGTCATTCTTTTTCTTGATGTCCAATTTTTTAGTACTTTATATGTTTTGGATATTGGCCTTCTATAGGATGTGTGATTGATAAAAATCTTTCTTATTCTGTAGCCTGCTCATTTGTTTGACTGATGTTGGGTTTGTTTGTTTGTTTGTTTGGCCAAACAGAAACTTTTCATTTTCACGAGGTTCCGCTTACTAATTCTTGTTCTTAGTGCCTGTGCTGTTCATTGGTGTCTTGTTCAGAGAGTCATGTCCTGTGCTAACGAATTTTTTACTTTCTCTTCTATCAGATTCAGACATCTGCCCTTATGTGGAGGTCCTTGATCCATTTGTAGTTATTTTTTTGCATAATAATAAATATAGATCTATTTGGATTTTTTTTACATGCAGTCATCAAGTTTGACCAACACCATTTGTGAAGATTCTGTCCTTTCTTCAGTGTGTGTTTCTAATTTCTTCATTGAAAAAAAAATTAGGTGTCCTAGGTGTGTGTAATTATTGTGTCCTCTGTTTAATTTTATTAATCAACTAATTAATGTGTCTGTTTTTTTTTTTTTTTTTTTTTTTTTTGACTCGTTTGAGCTATTTTTTTTTTTTTTAATTTATTTTAATTTATTTTGCAATACAATTCAGTTCTACATATCGGTCACGGATTCCCTTGTTCTCCCCCCTCCCGTCCCCCTCACCTTCCCCCCAACGCCCCCCCCCCATTCCCATCTCCTCCAGGGCAAAGCCTTCCCCACAGACTGAGGTCAACCTGGTAGACTCAGTCCAGGTAGGTCTAGTCCCCTCCTCCCAGGCCGAGCCAAACAATCCTGCATAGGCCCCAGGTTTCAAACAGCCAACTCATGCAATGAGCACAAGATCTGGTCCCACTGCCTGGATGCCTCCCAAACAGATCAAGCCAATCAACTGTCTCACCCATTCGGAGGGCCTGATCCAGTGTGGACCCCTCAGCCATTGGTTCATAGTTCATGTGTTTCCATTCATTTGGCTATTTGTCCCTGTGCTTTATCCAACCTTGGTCTCAACAATTCTCGCTCATATAAACCCTCCTCATTCTCGTTAATTGGACTCCCAGAGATCCACCCAGGGCCTAGTCATGGATCTCTGCATCCAGATCCCTCAGTAGTTGGATGAGGTTTCTAGCACAACAATTAGGGAGTTTGGCCATCCCATCACCAGAGTAGGTCAGTTCGGGCTGTCTCTCGACCATTGCCAGCAGTCTGTTGTGTGGGTATCTTTGTGGATTTCTGTGGGCCTCTCTAGCACTTTGCTTCTTCCTGTTCTCATGTGGTCTTCATTTACCATGGTCTCCTATTCCTTGTTCTCCCTCTCTGTTGTTGATCCAGCTGGGATCTCCCGCTCCCCCAAGCTCTCTTTCCCTCGACCCTCGCCTTTCATTACCCCCACTCATGACCAGGCTGTTCATGTAGATCTCATTCCATTTCTCTGTCATTGGGCGATCCCTGTGTCTTTCTTGGGGTCCTGTTTTCCGGGTAGCCTCCCTGGTGATGTGAGTAGCAGACAATTCATCCTTGTTTCATGTCTAGTATCCTGCTATGAGTGAGTACATACCATGTTTGTCTTTCTGAGTCTGGGTTACCTCACTCAGGATGATTTTTTCTAGATCCATCCATTTGTCTGCAAACCTCATGATGCCATTGTTTTTTTCTGCTGAGTAGTATTCCATTGTGTATATGTACCACATTTTGTTTATCCATTCTTCAGTTGAAGGGCATCTGGGTTGTTTCCATGTTCTGGTTATTACAAACAATGCTGATATGAACATAGCTGAACAAGTGCTCTTATGGTGTGGTTGAGCATTTCTTGGGTATATGCCCAAGAGTGGTATAGCTGGATCTTGGGGGAGATTGATTCCCAATTTTCTAAGAAAGCGCCATATTGATTTCCAAAGTGGTTGTACAAGCTTGCATTCCCACCAGCAGTGGAGGAGAGTTCCCCTAGCTCCACATCCTCTCCAGCATAAGGTGTCTTCAGTGTTTTTGATCTTAGCCATTCTGACAGGCGTAAGGTGGTATCTCAGAGTTGTTTTGATTTGCATTTCCCTGATGATTAGGGATGTTGAGCAATTCCTTAAATGTCTTTCGGCCATTTGAGTTTCCTCTGTTGAGAATTCTCTGTTTAGTTCTATAGCCCATTTCTTAATTGGACTGTTGGGCATTTTGATGTCTAATTTCTTGAGTTCCTTATATATTCTGGATATCAGTCCTCTGTCAGATGTGGGGTTGGTGAAGATCTTTTCCCATTCTGTAGGCTGTCGCTTTGCCTTGTTGACCGTATCCTTTGCTCTACAAAAGCTTCTCAGTTTCAAAAGGTCCCATTGATTGATTGTTTCTCTCAGAGTCTGTGCTACTGGTGTTCTATTTAGGAAGTAGTCTCCAATGCCAATGCGTTCAAGACTACTTCCTACTTTCTCATCTAGCAGGTTCAGAGTAGCTGGATTTATGTTGAGGTCCTTGATCCACTTGGACTTAAGTTTTGTGCACGGTGATAGATATGGATCTATTTGCAGCCTTCTACATGTTGATATCCAGTTTTGCCAGCACCATTTGTTGAAGATGCTTTCTTTTTTCCATTGTGCACTTTTGGCTTCTTTGTCAAAAATTATAT